ACCTCGCTGGTATTTGGCAAATTTTCAAAAGCACAAATTCAACAAATAAAGGACTTTTCTAGTAATTATTTGAAACACCAAATTATTTCCACTGTGATATATTTACCCTGAACTTGTACTCAAATGACACATTTACCATGGTTCCATCAATGAGCACCGTTAAAAATCTACCTACATAGACGCCATAAAGAAAACGATGTTGATATGGCGCCCACGTGACTTAAGTGAAATAAAATTGACGTTGTTTTGGCTTAAATCATAAAACGGAACATTGACGAAGGGTAAACGTGTTACATAATTTGGGGTTTTTTATTTCACAAAAAAAAATTCGGATATATGTGCCACAGTGGGTATAATTAAAATTTTCTCTGGCTTTTTCTCCATATAAAAATGACTAAAATGGTCACTCAGTGAGCTGCCTCCAAAGTCCAATCTGCAAAAGATCACGACACGAGCACTATTCTGATTTTTGTGGCTGTTTTTCCTTTCGGCTGAGTCAATGTAATCCGCGTGCTGATTAAACCCAACCACCGACGAAGTTCTGACAAGACCTTAATGAGCTGGTATACATAGATGTATATCCATCTTTAAAGTGAAAGAACACAAGATGTTTATCTGATTGGGTCCACATAAACATTTTTTGCACGATTGAAGTCAAATGTTAAATAGTATGAGTCTCATTGTCTTGTCCTTATCTTTATCATGTTTTTGCTTTGCCAGAATTCTCTTTCAAAATACCAATGTGGAAAGTATGTATGTTCATATGCGATTGAAACGCAATAAATTAAACAATGACGTTCAGTGATGGGCATACCTTTTATAAGCATTAATAATCTCAAACCTGCTCAAGGGCCTGCAATTAAATTCATTATAAACTATGGTGTAACATTATGCTACTAAGAATATAAGTCCTTCTTTACCGATAAGATTAGGCATCATTCCATTGATTACATTGTACAAGCAATAGTTGCACCAAAAGAATAGTTGCGCTCTAAAAAATTGACAAGGATTATCACTTACGGAAAGGTCCTACTTCAATCCAGCACTTCCAAGAAGATCCCATCTCCCTATCAAAATAAAAAAGACAAAGTCGAGATTTGTAATTTGTGGACGATATTGGCGACGTTGGTAGCTGAGAAAGTTAGTTGGATGTTATTTTGTCGCTTCTCATTTTCCCCTTGGCAGAAGACAAACCAAAATCCTATCTTTTCTGGACGAACTCTCCTATTCTTTCCATTTTCAGCCGATTCGAGTTAAATGAATACGAACAGTCAGATTTCGTAGGACTTGCTGTTTTCAATGGTCCAAAGTATCCCACTCACACAATAATCTCTCGTATCCGTAGTCCAGCTCTAGTCTTAACTCATGCGGTACCTATACTTGTCAATAAATACTTTGACTTGACTCCGGTGGGCTCCTAAGGTATCGTACACTTCTTCAATGAATTTTTTCATAATGGAGCATGTCTTATCTTCAATGAATCCGAATCGTCTGAACCCAGCTCACATCCACTCTCGAATGAGATGGGCCATCATGAGACCCGGGTAATCTAGCGTGCCGTGTGAGAGGACCCATATTTTACCGTTGGAGGAAGTAGGCCACACATGAGCCTATATAATCTAGTGGTCCATGATAGCTGGCCCATATGCTATGGGAGCAGACGACAATTTCTCCAGACTCATTATGTTTGCATTTCCACTTTTTACTACTGTAACATGAACTATGATGAATTTGGAAAATGAATCTTCAACATCGTCACATATATAGGCTTTGTCTTACATGCATTCATCATACAAAGTCAATCTCCACCAAGCGAAGAGCCTTGCCCTGACACCTGAGTGAAAATTTGTCATTTGCTCATATGCTTACTTACACTATATGTGAACTTTCATACTTTCAACGCTTTTCATTTGAAATAGACTCTTCATCTAAGCAAGTGGGGACTTGCCTTGAACTTTCGGCCATCCCAATGCTAGCTTTCACTTGAAAGCCCATTGAAAATGGTTGCCAAACACCCCAAATTTTTCCCAAAATATTTTTGGGTTATAAGGGGCTTTCAAAATACTTGATCAAATGCACTCTAACTCAAAAAAGCTACTTTTCAATTTAGACCAAATGTCGCAACAAGTGATACTTTGCTATATTTGTGCTAGTGTTGTCCTTATCTTGCAGTGCTTATGTAATGTTGCTATCTGGGCAACATGATTTTAGTTGTTTTCTCTAACGTTGTGACATTAAATTAAAGGGTCACACTGTTTCTACTTCCTCTATGCCTAAAACACTCCTTAACATAGTGTTTTGACAATATTGCCCTTTGTGGGTCCCACTTTTTAGCATCCCTTTGTCCTTTTTTTTTTTATGAATTTCTTATTTCTTTGGGTTAATACCATGAAAAACCCCAAATTAGTACACCCGTGATAAATTTACCCCGAACTATTTTTTTGACCACAAAAAACCCCAAACTGGTACACATGTGACAATTTTACCCCGAACTATTTTTTTTTACCATAAAAAACCCTATACTTATACACCTGTGACAATTTTATTCCGAACTAATTTTTTGACCACTAAAAACCCCAAACTGATACACTTGTGATAAATTTACCCTTCGTTAGTTTCCGTTAAATTTTACCGTCAAATGCTAAGTTTGATGACACGGGGTAGTTGACAAGTGTACCAATTTGGGGTTTTGCCCCTCTATTTGTCACAAGTTTACCAATTTGTGATTTTTCGTGATATTAATCCAATTTAACGGATACTAACGGAGGGTAAATTTATCACAAATGTACCAGTTTGGGGTTTTTAGTGGTCAAAAAATTAATTTGGGGTAAAATTATCACAGGTGTACTAGTTTGAGGTTTTTATTAGTCAAAAAATTAGTTCGAGATAACATTGTCACAAGTGTACCAATGTTGGGTTTTTAGTGGTCAAAAAAATAGTTTTAGGTAAACTTGTCACAAGTGTACCGATTTGGGGTTTTTTGTGGTCAAAAAATTAGTTCAGGGTAAAATTGTCACAGAAGTACCAATTTGAAATTTTTCGTGATATTAACCCTATTTCTTTTCTTGTGGATCCCACATCCATTTTCCTTAATCTTCTCCGTTCTCTCCGTTCTCTCTTTCTCTCTCTTTTTTTGGTCGAATTCCGTTCTTTCTCAAGAGGCAGAGAAATAGAGAATCAAGAAGGTCATGTCATTGTGCTCGCATATCCTAGGCAGGGCCACATCAACTCGCCACCGAGACGTCGACAAAGCCCTCTTCCTTCACCACACCCGTCTCTGCGGCTACTGATCTAATTCGCTCGACATCAATGTAATTCACGCTCTTTGCGAGGAAATTTAGCAAATTATTGAGTGGATATTTTCGAGAACTAGATGGGGAGAAAGGGAGGAAATTGATTGTCAGGCTCTAGGAGGTAATGAAATATCAAGAGGATTTGCTTGTGAGCAATGCTACTTTTGCGAATTTCATTGATTCCTTATGCATAGAAGGGTTTTTCGATGAAGTGTTTTAGATTATGTAGAGTATATCTCAAGGCAATCGCCCTCAGCCTCCCCATCACCCTTCCCATCTCCTCCTCATCGGCGTGAACTACTCCACCTTTGTCGAGCTCATCAAATGCAAAGTGCACAACCTCCTCATGCCTCGCCAGTATGCGCCACTCTATGCGAACAACATCCCTTTACTATCGTAAGACATGTGGCACAGAGCCTTCACGCAGACTACTCGAGGTGCTGTCATGAGTCATGAGGACCAGTTCAGTTGCCTCCACCTATACAAGCGTGGAAGTCTCCATTTATCTATCTTTTTATTGTTGTGAATGGTTACATAAAAGAACATACTAGGAAAGTGAACGTGAGACTCACAAGAAAAGAAATAGAAAATTAATAAAAGAAAAGATAATAAGACCAAAAAAAAATGTGACAACACTTTCTTAAAACATTAGCGGATGCTAAAAAGTGAGACCCACAAATGGTAATATAATTAGATTATTATGTTGAGAGTGCTTTAGCCAAAGAGAGAGTGGAAAAAGCACAACCCTTTTTTATTACTTTCTTAAGACACTTGGCGCAGATGTGGCACCCAGCATGCACTAAATCAATAAAAATCTTGAAACCTTTTTTTAAAGAAAGATAAAGATTAAGAAAAAAAAGAAAAGAAAAGAATAAGCGCTAAAATAATAGAAAAATTAAAAATTGAAAAGGAAAAAAAAAAAGCCATAGGCTGTTTTGCTTCGTCGGAGCCCCTCCTGCGACGTACTGTGCCAGGCCACTGATGGCGACTGGCAGAGGAATCGAAGGTGGCAGCAAGGTAGACGGGTGCTTGGGCTGGCTCGACTCACAGCCGTGCCGGAGCGTCGGGAGCATCCGATTGTTCAACATGCAGACAATTGCACGCATTCGTCCCATTTGTCGAAGTCTTTTTCGGAGCGGAGGTGATGGAGATCTGGATCTCGCGTTTGTTTTGTGCTTCCCCAGGCCAAAAGCGAGCAAAATCTCGCCGCCACGTAAAGCAGCGTACGAAAGAGTCGAGTTAATTTGAAATTGAACCGGGAAGGACGACGAAGCCAGAGCTGTTGAAGATGCGAAAACGAGAGTTTTCGAACTATAGATTAGAATTTTGATGGAGTGGCGAAATCGAGCGGAGCGCGAATGAGGAAGGTTTCGCAATGCACAACCTGGGGAAGTCAGGGCTTTCCTATTCTTCGATTCCATTACATGTGTGTTTTCTCTTTTTGAAATGAAATCCTCCGCCTGCATTTTGATTACCGCTCACTCGCTAGAAAACGGTGCTTTTTGGAGTTCTCAAGGTCAAAATGCCAGGCGCATCTCTGACCGGGAAGCTATCCTTGTCTTCTTCTTCTTTTGTCGGAAAAAGAAACTTCATTTCATTTCATGGAGATAAGGTAAAAGGACATCTCCAACAGGCTTCAAAACAAAGTACATCCAAAAGAGGTTGAGGTGAGCTTGAAACCCGGCTCCGAGAGAGAGTCTCACGAAATTGGGCTTTAACGACCCAGTCCGCAGCTTTATTTTTAGGTCTAACTGTTGTGACAGCCACGAGTCTAACTATATCTTGCATCCCTCGCTTAGAGCCAAAGCTCCCTCATAAAAAAAATCATCGGATAGTCTGATAGGAAAGATACATTCAGAATCACATTATCATCGGGTCACAAATTTGGAATTGGTCCGACTATTAACCTAACGACCAATGAAAGTTAGCTAGAGAGGGTAATAAGAGAACCATCTGTCAACCATTGCAAGACATTGTTTCGGTTTATACTCCGGAGCTGTGTGTCCCCCTCCCTGCACCACCCAAAAAGGGGACGAATAAAAAAAAAGGGATCATTGCGATTTTAGATAATCATTTTCGAGATGTATACAAGTGTCAAAACGGAGAATAATGGAGGGGAGTTGGGTCCTACCTTAATTGTTGTAAACGTCAAGTCGAACTTGCTATTTTCGGAATATAATATAGAATATCTGTCCGCAGAGATTAAAAAGAAAGTTAATAGATATAACATATTGAAATTCCTTAAGCACACGCGATGTGGGTACATGCAAGCAAAAGGAAAATTAGATCCAAGATATTTGGTGTGAAAGAAGATACGTAAAATGTTTGCAAAATAAATTCAAAAACTGTGCAAAAGAGCCAAAAATACTTTCTAACTTAAATTAGAATAAGAAAAATCAAAATGAGGACTCTATTACTAAAACGAGATAATATGTATTGCACTTTCAAACTCTTGTTGACCAATTAGCCATTTGAGGCTTTTGAGCAACAAAATGGCCATCGCTTCTTTATTAGGTAAGAATGTTATAGTCTATTGCACTTTCAACGGTTGACAAGTAGGTTAACTGATAACACCAGCTTTGAACAAAGCCCATTGACATGGGTCCTTTGAAGCCATGAACTGGGAGAGACCGGTTCCTAAACCCAAAAAAGGGCGAAGCCCGGACCCATCGATTCAGATTCTAGCAGCCACGTCTCCGAGTGTTAGGTGAAGAGAGGTGAAAAGTGGGCAACAAACCAATAGATATACCCACGTTCTTGAAAATGTCACGTTTCCGAAAATTGGGGAACCCCAAGGTATCAAAGTAAGTATAAATAGCCCAGAATCAAACATTTGAGGTAAGAGGAAGTACTTTACCATAGTGGGAGACAGTCAGAATGAGTTTATTTGAGTTTAGAAGTCTAATTGCGATTTGGCACAAACTTTTTCAGCTTGAGTGTGGTTCTCAACACAGACAAGAGATGGAATTTAATGAGCGAAGTTCATCAACAATAATATTTTTCGTATATGGTTAGACCAAGATGCACGTTGTTCACATCGGTATAAACATGTTCGTCATCAAGCGAAGTACAAAGCTAAACGTTCATGAGAAGATGACGATCAACTAAACAAAATTCGATAAAAAAAAAATTGTATAGCAATCTTAACGGATTAGGATGAAATTATTACCCGGCTACTTGACCTTCGACAAACCAAGGCGACCACGAACCTTCTAAAGTTAAATTGAGTGATCTTATCCAATCCAGTGTGGCCACGTACGGGATAGCGATGTCATGATCACCACTACAACAAGAGTAATTTTTGTGAACGAAAGTAAGAATTGCTGATTTACGTAAAAAATCAAAAACACAGCTTTAAAAAAAATTTAACCGGGATGAGAAACTTATTCACTTAGCCATCGTATTACCTGTAAACAAGGGCACGCAGGGTTTTCTGAGAGAGGTATTTATTATAAACTACGCTATCAAGAACGTCCTTTGTGTAAGATAGAGTATGGTTGCATCTATTCCACTCTTCCTTCGTGCCCTGGATGTCATTATCAATTAGCAATGTGAAACATATAAATGTCGGTGATTCCCGCGAAGAGAATGAATTTTCATACCTCTCGTACGTGAAGGGCTTCTTGGACGTTCTTATCGTTGGCCCAAATGTAAGAGTATATGTAGTTATAGGGCTGTTGATGAAGAAATTTAAGTGAAACAGCTCATCATCGAAATCCATATGTTCAATATCATATTTGTGTTACCCGTATAGATAGATAATATACTTTTAGATACTGTAAACGTGGAATTTTGAGGGAGTTAATTCAGGATGTACCCGACACCATGGCCTGGATTCGTGGGGCATCGAAACGACATCGACGGCATTCTCTTCGAGCATACTTCTGCTCCATTTTAGCCTTGTGTGGTTTGGAGATATGAGATTACATGATGGTTCCAATATTTGAGCCAAAAATATCTTCTCAAGGCACTAGAAGATTTCACAAGGAAACACATCTCGGTCATTTTATATGTTGCGTAAAAGAATACGAGAGAGGTGGATGGCTACAACAATAGGACTTACCAGTGACACCATTTCAAGGTCAATTAGGCAGGCGCTGTTGGTGGGATCTACATTCTGAAAATCTCCATTGCAATCCGTTTTCGTTGTCTTGAAAATATTGAATGCAAAAAGTAAAATCACGAAACGTCGATTCATGTGTAATTATCATTACAAACATATTACATTCCTTGATGATACAGAGCTCTTATCAGAGTTATGATGTAAGTTTACCTCATAAAGTTCATCAGATACGAGAGCCATCTTGTTAGCGTATGGAATTCTAAAACTCATGTCCTTCTCGTCACAATTCACCGGATTGCCTAGCGTATAACCCTGTTCATATAACCAGAACAATAACGCTTTACTTAACCTATACGGCTCAGTATTAATAGTCACATGAAGTGGGAAATGTTGAGGAAGTAGTAGAATGCAAGATTATTACAAGACATGAGAAGAGCACACTAAGCCTAACTTTATCTAATGTCGCAAAACATTACTATATAGTAAAAATTACAAGATTATTACGTACCACGATATTCATTTGCGGGACGTTTCCAGCTTCATTTCCTATACAGTAAACCGAACGGAGTTGTTTAAATTGATGAAGAGAAAAATGGCCTTCTTGAAAGCCAATGTGGCACAGAATAATGTGGGTAAAAACTTCAATTACGCACCATCGTATATATTTTTAACGATGATGGGGATAACAACGCCAGAGTAAGAATCGCCGGTGATGTAAAGCGGATTTGCGAGGAAATTGGGGTGAGATAGAAGCCACTGCATCAGCAAAAAGAGATAACAAATATAAGGAACTGTATCGGTCCATGTGATTAGGTACAAATGGCCATAAGGGGCATCTGATTATCTTGAGGTGAATGTTACCTTTCTTAAGAACTCGTACGCTTGTGCTGCCGAGGAAGTGTCACTAACATTGTATCCCGCCTCTGCCGTTGCATATGAAAATCCTGTACCCACGGGTGCATCCAAAAATATGACGTTGGCGACCTGTTGTACAAAAAAGACGACGGATTTTAGTCTCAATAAGTTGAACGGTATTAACGGTAGCCGAAAATAAAAGGCGATTCACCTTTGTCCAGGCATAAGGATTTGACTTTAAAATCGGTTTCGTTCCACTAGAACTTGAAAAATCAAACTGCAGCGGACCTGTGCGAAAACATGCAGTGACGTCAAGATCTTAGGTGATTAAAACCATTTCATCGGTTTTGCTTTCGACTGGCATATGGATATTTAGTTGATATGGAATGCACATCACAGAACACCATTGTTTAATTTATGACGTTGATGCTTTCTTTCGGAATTAACCCGATAATAGATGGATACACAGCATTTACATATCACATCATGAAAAGTTGCTACCAGCTGATTTAGATATTACAGGACTCATCAAAAAGGCAAAAGAGCCAGAGAACACAAACAAGTGGTGGGAGCTCAATGAATGACCACCTTAATCATTTTGACATATTATAATGTAGCATAACCTAGTGGTCTTTGAGAAAGAGAGAGGGAAAAGAAGGCTACCAAAGGCTACGTGTCACCGGAAAAGACAGTAGTAACGCAAGGAGGAAGAAGAAAAATGAAGAGGACGACACGACGACGACAATGGCTATGAGTTAAGAAATTAATGAGAGAGAATGTACCAATTTCGTAGAGGAGGCTTGACAAAGAGGAGCAACCGGGACCACCAGTGAGCCAAACCAACAACGGGTCCGCCTTGGGGCTCCTCTCGGACTCGATGAAGTAGTAGAATAGCTGCACTTCATCCAAGTCTCCTACCCCAACATATCTACACCATTTTTTGTTTCGACACCATTACAACAAATGTTAAAAGGGAAACGCGCATGTATACGTATACGTACAACTCTTGAAGATGAAGGAAAGATATAGCGAATCAAGTCATTTGCTACATTGCAATTGATCATAAAACAAAAAAAAAACACGAGCTGACCCGGTTTCGAGTTTGAAGGGAAGATCTTCGGGGAAACCCGGCAGGCTCTCGACGATGGCCGAATGTGATTGCACCACATTGGAGATCAACAGCAGCAATGGAAGTAGGAGATGCAACATCCTTGGCCCGTACAACCAAAGGAAAATGGTGAAGAAAAGAGAACTAGGCAAATTTGTGTAAGAGTCCTCCTTCCCTTTGTGTGGATTCCTGGGATTTTTTTATAGAGGCTTCGCGGCTTTCTAAATTGTCCATCCACTGGTCAAAAGCCACGTGCACTTAAACCTAATTCAGACAGCGACATGTTAGGGATCGGAAGCACAACTACTTCGTCTATCGAATTGATACACAAATTAATGCCACGTACTAGAATTGGGCGCTCAAATTTGTGGTCCATATATTCAAACGAGGCATAAAAAGATTGATTTACAAAAGGATTCATAAAACGATACGACAAATTCTAATTTGATATTTTATGGGCCATTTGAGAAATATGTTCGAATTTTGTAGAAGAAGTTCGTCAGCCAATCTTAAATGTTGGGTACCAAACCATTGAAGCCCACAATATAATATAAAAGTCTGTCACGTGAGCTTACTTTTGCACGCTATCTATACTATTATATAAAACAAAGTGGGACCACCTGTAGTAGGTAAGTCATTTATTATTTTTTTCCAAAATGTCCTGAATTACTTACTTTACAGCTACTGAATTCATGGGCAAATGCGCTAGTAAATAATTCTGTAGAATGTCTCGCAAAATTCGCAATATATAATTGATTATCATCGATTGGACATTAATCGTTCGCCCTATTCCGATTCTTATGCGGGCTCTTTCTTTCTCTTTCCTAAATAGATCGAGCAGTATATCACCCAAGGGAGTGTTGCTCGAAAGCTAGAGAGTGAAGCGGAGGAGCGCAGCGAAAGTAGGGTTAAAATCATTGAGTCGCTCACAACCACAACTTGAGGGAAAAGTGCCAAAAAAGCCTTAAACCTTTGCATTTGTGCCAATTTAGTCTTAAACCTTTTGCATTTGTGCCAATTCAGTCCTAAACCTTTTGTATTGATGTCAATTCAGTCCTTCGACACGTGAATAGCTATTACCCGGAAGGACTAAATTAGCACAAATGCAAAAGATTTAGAACTGAATTGATACCAATGAAATAGGTTTAGGACTGAATTGGCACAAAAAAAAGGTTTATGACTGAATTGGCATCAATACAAAAGGTTTAGAACTAAATTGGCACAAAAAAAAAGTTTAGGACTAAATTGGCGCAAATACAAAAGGTTTATAAGTTTTTTGACACTTTTCGTCACAACTTGACAAGAAGCAACACGTAACACCCTTATTTTTCTTTTAGAGCGTACCTCAGTGTCAAAGTGGCCCCGGAAACACTTTTGAAATCTTTCGAATCTCATTTTCTGGGTGGCCAAAAACGTATCCCTTCGCATCCCTAAAAAAAACAAAGAGTATACTTCCTTACTGGCCACGCTACGCTCCAAGCAACGGTTAGCTACAGTTCGTTTCCGATTCCTAGTCAAGAAGAGAGAATCTGCAGCATCTCAGACATATGAAAGGACTCTACAATTCTGATCCGATCAAGGCACAGGAGAAATGTGAGGGATTGTAGATTGGTGGGTCTTTCGAAATTTAAAAGTGAAAACCATAGATATAATAGTACCCATCGAAGTCAAGTACCTGTGAAAGTCCATCTAACTTTCCATTTGGTAATCTTCTTTTCTCAATGAATGAATCCGTGCGAAGTTCTCCTTTAGCTACATGCCTCATATTTGGGGAAATCTTCTTCTTTTTTTGGTAGGTAGTAGTTCGCGCACGCATGGTCCAAGGAGCCACATCTGATTATAGCGAAGTACTGTAGCGAGAAGATAACAAGAGATGCTATGGTCACGGGCAATAGTAAGATTATGGGATTTGACTAGTTTCAGCATGTACTAGAGGACACTGTATCTAACTTTCCAAGAAGTGCCGGTACTGTAAATGAGAGTAGATTTTGAATGGAAGTTCGAATTCAAGCACGAGAGAAAATTGATTTGGACCCACGTGGATTATATCGTGAATTGGAGAGCGAAAGAGCTAATGCGGGTTTGACCCTACTTTGGAGCGTTTTTCTCAGGATTAGAACAACTCTAGAACTAACTAAATTAGTTAGCATGACCAAAAAAGTAAAAATGGAACTGGGACGACCTCATGGGATGCGCATTGTACTTACAACCGGTCGTAAGTATGGAGATCAACACCATGGCGGGATAGATTCGGCTTCCCATATCGTTACGTGCAAACAATGGCGTGTTTGAGCATCTGCTCGTGTTTTTGCTTATGTCTTATTAAGGTGTTTGAGGTGTGTGATTTTTCACAATATGCCCATGAAAGTTGATTAACATCAATGTGCCAAATCTGCGATCTGTCAGTACTTGATGATCAAGAGTAGTTTTAGGCTCCGTTCGTTTGGCGGAAAATATTCTCCTTTTGGAAAATATTTTCCCGGAAGTCATTTTCCTGGAAAATGTTTTCCCGGAACATAATTTTCCGGTGTTCGGCGACCAATATGAAAAAGTTTCGGAAAATATTTTTCGCCGGCGACCGGCGGGGGCCGGCGGAGGCGGCCGGCGACCGGCGGCGGCGGCGGCCGGCAACCTTAGTGAAGAAGAAGAAGCTTCGGAAAATGAGAAAAGATTTATATTATTTTCCCACTGAGAAAAGGTTTTCCGCCCCCCGAACACCGGAAAATATTTTCCGGGAGAATATTTTCCGCCAAACGAACGGAGCCTTAATAATAGGATCAGAATCAAAGTCGAACTTTCACTTTGGGTATGAATTGCACCATGTACAGGACAAGATTTATATAGAAACAAGACGGACGAGGAGTCGTGTTATCAGAATGGCATAAGATGATTAATTTTTTCGGTTAAATTTTCGTTTGATCAAATGGATTTATCTTTTCTGTTTCGCTTAGTCTCTTTCTGGGTCCCATATACAATGACTTAGAGATTACAAGATATAAATGCGCGAGTCGCACTTTAAGAATAATCTGAACTTGGAAAAGCGTTCCATCGAGTGGAGATAAATGACAATCGTTTTGATTTGCGATGCGAAGAACAGATAATGTCGGGAGTAGATACACCTGATCCCAACATGTGGGAGGGGTTTGAAAGATTGGTAGCGTCTTGACTTGTGAAATTTAGGTCTCGAAACACGTGAATAATGCTAACTTAAATCAAATGGGCTCCCCAATCAGAAAATAAAAATGACTTAAAAGAAAAGTTGGTCTGGACGAGTGGACAGAAATGTCACGGACAGGACATGCATTGATAGGTGTCCTGACAATTTGACACGGATGCTCATTGCGTGTTCATGTCATAGACGAGCCCCATGCTTATTCACGACTGGCCCTAGAATTATCTCGACAATCTCGTCGATAAGTTGTAACACGTGAGCCGAAGCCTGAGTGGATTGGTCGAACGTGAAATGGTGCGAGAAATCGAACGTGTTTTTTTATTTCTCCCGCACAATATTACGGTCACATGGTTCATTTGAAGCACTAACGTGATCAGAGTGACATCCAGCAGAACACTCCTTACATGAATTGCAGCTTACTAGTGTCACTTTGGGAGCTTCACCAAGAGTGGATGAGAACTAGAGAGGGTAATGAGCGAACCATCTGTGAATCATGGCTACAGTCTCTTCGGGCTTGTATTCTGCAGCTGTACGACCGGCTCCCTGTACAGAAACACGTTGAGCGTGAGAAAGTTTTCGGCAACGAATTAAAGTCGATGTAATATCTTTACCAAACATCGCATGCTAATAATTATGTACCGTGACAGTTGCATATGTCAACTCATAGTTGTCGTGCTCATACTGGAGGGTGTGCCTTCTAGTCAAAATCAGCAATGCAAATATTGGGTGAGCTTTGATCAAGAATAGCAGAAATCATGCATACACTGCCTAATTCCAAAAAAAAAAACCAATTTTAGATTGAGAGATAATTCTAACCCAAACTTTTTTTTGTCCAGTAAAAAAGCACAAATTTTAGGTCGAGTGACAATTCTAGCCCCAACTTTTTTTTGTCCCGTAAAAAATCACCAACTTTCACTTAAATTCCAAATCTGGTCCCTATTGACTTAGAACTATTGATTATTCAACTTGACTATTGTTGACACTTAAATTTTGATTATCAGATTTAATTCTTTATCGCATAAGAAAATGAGAGGTTAGTACGACCCCTAGACAAAAATCTGGCATAATGCATTTTAGTATCAATGACATTATCTGTTTGCATCAAGCATCTTTTAGGAAGCCTAAGGTGAGCTCAATAGATGACGCGATAAAGGATTGGTGATTGGAAAGGGAGAGGTGAGCTTCAAATATGATATTCGTATCTCCACAGATCATATGCACGTAGGACAGGAATTCCACATGCCCGGCTACTCCGTGTCTATTTCGATTCGGATAAGGACTTCGGATTCAAAAGAACATGTGACTTGGTGAGTGTAGGTTCGGCCGTGGAAGTATTTGGTGAAGAAGTGGAGGGAACATTCAAAAATGGAGATAAAAGTGGGATAAATCTAAACAAAAAGATGTGTTTTCTGGTCTTAGCCACAAGAAGCATAGATAATGCTTGCCCCTCCTCTTGGACGCCACTCTTCACGCCATGCAGAGAGGGCTGTCAATTGGGTACACTCTCTCTCGCATGGTGGAGTTTAGTTCTTCGGGTTGTTATGAAGATATTGATATCTTTCATTATTGAATAACCACGTTATCTATTGGCTTTGAATCTTGGTCATACATCCGATCCCGCGCGTAAGAGATAATTACCAAAACCGGTCAAACTCTCGAGGATAATTTCCAAATCCATTCGAACTCTAATCAGTCTATCATTGATCCTGATTTGAACTAGAGTTATGAAGGCTATAAATACCTCCTTGGCCGATCAATCACGGGGGGCATTCGCAGCTGAGACACGAACAAAGAGAGAGATCGTGAGTGGGAGCCGAGAGAGAGATTGTGACTGCCCTTGAAGGCTAAAGATGGTGACGAAGTGGTGAAGTTTGTAGTCTTCTTGGAGAGTGTAGTTTGACAATTAGGTCAGACATCCACTCACAATCAAGTTAATCAAAGCCAAGTCCTTCCCAGCCACAATACGAAGGAAAAGACAAAAGGAGGCTACGTACTCAACGCAAGAGTCGCTAGAGACCT